GGTATGTGCGTTTTACACCGATCTTTGATCTGGCCGGGTGTTTATTAATGAGAACACCATAATCTTTCGAAGTACGAGTGCAATTTAAAAGACTATAGGCAAAAATGTTGTAATCGGCTGCTTTGCCATTTCACAACGCTGGACGTGGGTTAATTTTGAATTGTACAATTTGTCATTTGCTCATGAATAATGTCACATGATTTTTGAAATGATCTTTCTAATTCCAAATTTTCCTAAAATCTTTGTCGGAAATCGCGATGGTTCATTGTGCTGCAGTTGATGCTGCGAGCCACAATCCCTTCTTCGGCCAATTTGTTTCGATATTTGAGAAAGGACTCCTTTTTTCCCTCGTCAACTCTAGACGTTGCACCTTAAGAAAAGCCGAACAGTCTTAGCCAAGGTGCATGGTTGGATTTCCAATAGTGGTTTACAAAATATGTTTAGAGTTATGTAGCTAAGACAATGCCGGTTAACAAAATATGCCACAATTATCCGTTGCAAACGCACTTAGTACATGAATACAAGTGTGGCCGGTTTCAATTTGCATAAGAACTACCAGAACATTGGGTTACAAGACCAACTTGAAGAGTAGTATAATTTCGCTAACTCCATATTCGGTATTTTATAATCAGATACAGTTTTATTATATGCAGATTAGTTGTCATCACAGTTATTTTCATATGCATATTACTAATAACTATAGTTTTGGTTCATGCATATGTAGATTATAATTCGCATACCCGTTCGCGTTAGGCATTTGTGAACTTAAATTTCATGGTTTAGAATTTCAAATGTGATTACGAATTCAATCTCAATTACTGAGTCGGTTTGCAAACCTCGGTTTGAACCATTGAATTTCGTAATGTTAGTCAGTACCTTAAAACAGTGCTTTACGAAGGATTTGGCTAAGATGGCTACAAAAATAGACGTTTCAAGAATATATTCGTCGTCACGTGATGTGTGCGACAATGACGAGTGTCCATGCAAATGTATCGTTTCCTTGACAACAATGGGGCGAATCTGTGTGTACATTTATTTCGCGTTTTTGTCGGATTACCGTCACGGCGGTATAAGCCGTTAATCGCATCTCGTAGCCGCGATGTTTCGAGTGTAACGGCCACGCTTGTGGTCAGCATCTGGCAAACATTACCTGGCTTTCTTAAGTAAGTGTAGTAGATTTCGTTTTCGCTTTCACGCAAGCATCTTGCTTGCCGTTGTTACATATCGGTAACAACGAATCTGATTGGTTGACAACTTTACTATCGCGTCCAATTAAATACGACCTCCAAAATACACCCTTATCAATAGGATTCTTACGACATGGGTTTGTAGGGTAACAGATACGAAACCGCGCGGTCGAAAAAAATAGCTCAGTTCACAACATTAATATGTGTAAAAGAAATCGCCGTCGATCGAAGAATATTTTTCAGAAAATAATTTCGTTCCAATTTCCCGTCTAAAATCATCGTAAACAATTTTAATTCAGCCAATGTGTGGAGCTCATTGCTGAAATGTATCGTCCGATTAATGCATAATATTTTAAGACAGTGTAGCAATTTCGACCGACTGATTTGTTTATTCAAACCTCGTGATCAAGTGAAAACAGATTTCACAGCACGCGTAATTTAGTTGAATGCCTTCATGCATGACGGCTGCCTTTTCATTTCCTTCCGCCATTACGTGTAAGCTGTGACGTAAAACAACCTGTAATATACACGGGGATGATGACTGTCTCTGTGTATCTGTTCCATGTAAAATGTTGTTTGTGCTAAGAGTTTCAAAACCCAATGACGTATGTCTTTAATTTCCCATCCCCACTGAATATCGCATTACCGTACTTTCCACGACTTTCGATTACACCCCACCCTCATCGACGCACTAATAAAATTAAACACGAAGAGACTTATTTCACCTGTTCGGGGATAATATTGATTTCGAACAAATATGATCAATTACAATGGTTTTTAAAATCATTGTCAATTTGTACAGCTGCCGCGGCAATGGTGGGTATATCTGCAATGTCGACAATGAGAATGCTTTTATGGAGATGGTAACAGCATCACTGTGGACGTCAATATTATTTTGCTTTCTTTGTGTATTCTATGATAACATAGCAAATGTATATGCAATTTCCCGTACGACCCTGCTTCTAAAAAATATGTTTAATCATATCTGTACCAGAGTAACACTTCGCACATTTGTATTTTGTGTAAACATTGTATTTTAAACGCGTCGGACCCACACCGAACACGACACGACCGGCAACCCTGGCTTGTTAAGCCAAGGTTTATTTCCTGGACATTCCATTGTAGTTGCAACAAGCATCGGGTGCTGCTCAACTACTATGCGTGGTAAATTATACTACATGTACGTTGTCTTTGGCCATTTTCACAATTGTCGTATTCGTAATTAGTTTCGTGTTCCACGTACGTTTGAATGTTTGATTTTGTTTGGTCATTTCATACCAAACCACCCATACCCACCTCGGAGTGTTGGCATCCGTAAATCTGTTCCAATCTTAATAATTAGTCCTGCGACAACTGAAGACGCGGAGAATAAAACATCGAGAGGGGATGTTTTATAATTGAGGCAATTTGGACGCATTGAGGTATAACATGCCCGTCACGGAATGCCTGACTAATTTACAGCATAGAACGAGCCTCTATTAAGGGATAACACAGCCAGTCCCGTTGGAATAGTATCTACATTTTAAATCATGCGGCCGCAATAAATCGATACATCGCTTTCCGCTGTGACAGTTAAATGATTTCGATTTATACTAATGTTTACTTTAAGTTTGTGTTTGCACACTATTGAAATTGCTAAGGATATTATTCCCATTTTATATGCACTGATATTATAAACATAATATTCCACGTACGTTCCTTTTTTCAATCTGTCCGTCGCTATCAAAACCTATATAATAAGAATGAATGTTACGAATCCAACCTTCGTTATGCGTCTAGACTCGTGTGTATCAAACGCATGAAGATGTTACCGTTTTACGTCGATGATTGATGAAGCCTTATTCCACGTTCAAATTGGAAATATAAATCACCCACAGTAATCGGGTGATATGTCGTGATGCCTTGAATGTAAACCATTGCGCTGTGAATACAATCATTTCCGTTGTGATCGACTTTAATTCCCTGCATTTAAAGGTTTTTGTTTTTGCTGACTTAAACTAATGAGTGCGTTGACCAACGACTCGTGTTGGCGCGAGGTAATGTTTATTACATCGTGTGTGCAATAATATGACATTTTGATGGTAATTAGAACTTTAACTTTACAGGTAGTATAATATTAATTGTATAGTATGATGTATACGATTTAACTGACTACTCGTTTTGTGGTTTCTCGTAAACAAACATTTGTCTTCATTGTATTGTTTATTCAAGGAATCTTGTTTCTTATAACATTGTGTATTCTGGGAATTGTTTCGTAGGATGTCGACGACTCTCCTTGGACCGGCGATCAATGTATTATTCATCACCACGTCTACGAACACATTTGTCACGCGCAGTTCCCAACACTTCGTGTTCTAATTGATTCAGAGACTCGCAAAATAAAGAGTCAAATCCATCTATTGTATATGAGTTGGTCGGTTGTATATTATACGATATCTGATCCATAATATTCAAGACATTGCTATGGTTACTATCACAACATCTCCATTTTTTTATTAAATTATTGTATTTACGTATAAGTATTTGCTTATTTCCAACGAATAACATAACATAGCTCAGTTCCTTTACTGCAAATCGATCACGTAATGGTTTATCGACACAGTTTTATTTTGTTTTCAATTTTTCCACATTTTTATAATTGTTTCTATTATATGAGGTGTTGGAGATAAAAACGGTTTACCGATCTTTCTGAACAATCTGTAGATTTATTTCATTCTCTTTGTTGGACTCTTCAAAAAAGCACATGAATGAATTCAATACTGCAGTATTTCTGGGTATCCGGTATGAGATGCTTTAAACGATTGGTTCCGTACGTCATAAAAAAACGATTGCATGAATCACTAGAATAAACACTTTTGGGAAAGTACGGCCGTGGCAAAGTATATTTATTTTTTGATGCTTTCTTTCAAGAAACTGAACTCAACTTCCAACTGACTTAAAATTCGAACATGACTTGTGATTGAAGGTTTAAACTTGTTCATTTTGTGTTTACATGTATTATTAGAACAATATGAATCCCCCCACATCACCATATTGGATGAGGAGAAGGGTTTATGGGAAAATAATTCTTGGATTAAATTTACTTAGAAACATTATCGTGTGATAATGTTAAGCTATGACGTCATAACAAGTTCTAATTCTTATAGTGGTGATCTATAACAATGCTTTTTGCGAAAATCTCTAATTATTAATGAAAAGACAGTTCCTTTCAAATTTACCAGTATACACAAATTGATGACGTTGAAAATGAGTCAATCGACCTTTCAAAAATCTTCTGATTTTTGTTTTATTTTTAAAAGAAATGAACAGAGAAAGATGATTATTCCAGAAAACCGCTACAATGCTTGTTTCCAATTTATAAATTTGTTCCCTGCTACAATTGTTTTTTGGGGCAAATAAAGGTTGTGACTGAAACAGTCTTTGACGCAATGTGCGTTAGAGGGCGTACACCTTACGCCTGCACTCAAATCAGAGTCTGTTTTGAGTAAAATTGAAGACTTAACATAAAAAAGAATATATTACTTCCTGTAACTTCTGGCAGTTTGACCAAAATTCTTCAACATTATAAATTTATTGAATATCGCATAGCTCCAATTTTGATTTTAACTGTTTATAGTGAAGAGTCTGTCAGAGGTAATATAACATACGATAGTAAGCAGATATGCCTATGAAGATTTCGAATGTCGCCTAAATGTTTCGATTTTACCCGACTGAGCAGGTCATAGCGAAGAATCGAGCAATGAGGCGAAGATGGATTGCAATATAACATAACCTTCCCGGACTTGTAAATTCTCAATTTTAATTTCGTTGCAGTATCTGTACAGTATGATGAATAACTGTAAATACAACTGGGATTGTAACTACGGTGAGACCTGTATTGGAATGGTGTGCGAACCGACAATGAAGCTTCATAGCTGTACAAACGACGAGACGTGCAGACCTTACGATAAGACGTGTGTTAACTGGTACTGTCGTGACGTCAACAACTCATACAGGAATTATATGCCGTGAGTTTATTATAGTATTGGTTGTTCTTTCACTGATGTTTCATACATCTTATCGACCCAGTGAGACCCAACGAGATTTTGCTCGTAAACGGTGATCAAACTTATTTGAAAATAGATGAAATGTTGATCACTTGCAATCCCGAACTTTTCATTGACGTTTTTAGTTAATATTTCTGGACATAATAAGTTTTAAACCAGCTCATATTATTTTGGCTCTTCTTCTATCTCGACCCATCTCTCTATTTCATCTGTTTCATTTTTCACACCATATAAGCCAGCATTCTTTAAGTGATGTGTTTCTTAAGTGACTTGCACGAGTTCACTGAAAACAAATCAATTGTTAGGTGCGAACGAAAAGACCTTACTAATAAATCGCGCCATCTAGCGACAAAGCTAAAATTAAAACACTGTCGATGAGGGCGTCTCAACTCACACACATTCATGTCCCAAAAGCGCTTATTCGCTAGAGGGCGCAGCATATGGAGTGGACTGTACATCCTAATGTGGACGTGTGGTAGGTAATCAGGAGTAAACACACGTGCATACATAATCACAGTTACATAATATTACAGAGACTGAAGTAACGAAGTCTAATTTACCATATGAACATTTGTGGGCTAAACGTCCAAATTTGTTCTTAGTTCGGTAATAAAATCCCTTGGTACCAACACAATCAGCAACCCGGAGAGGGAGGACCTAGCGCCCCTAATTGGCCAGTTCTAATTTTGTCACCAAACATCTACAGATTATTGCAGTGAATTTCAATTTTTCCCGAGAAGTTGTGTTTTTACTAGGCTCAGTTGGCGATCTTATTATCAAATAAACTCAGTGGAGTACAAAAGCAGTAGGGGTGATCTGCTGGAGTTCTCAATCTAAAATGGTCATTCTGAATACCAAAAGTAGGAAATAGGGAACTAGCCATATAGAAATGAACCTAAACAGTTAACAAAAGAACAAAAAAAATCTACACACTTGTAAAGCTGGTCTTGTCATCCCGCCCCTCAATCTGTTAATTCACAAGGACTGTCCATATGCTTGCTTAAAGTGCCTGTGAAATGGCTGCTATTTTCACGCCTAAAATTATCCATTGATACATAAATATTATTAATTTTTATGTTTCTAAGCATAAATAATTTGTTTTAAGTGAAAAAATGTGTTTTAAACTCAGTCTACAGAAACTTTATTTTTGTGTATTTTAAAACGAGGCTCCTCATTAGCTTCTCATTTGCATGCATACAGAAATACCCCTTGTGATGTCAGAAGGGGAAGTCGCTGGGCAGCTTGCATTGCCGATACGTGTAAATAAGGCAAATTTCTTGTGCTGTTTTCTCGTCTTTGACTAAATTGCCACTTATGTACTTGTTCGTCGAGGAAGAATGGACCATAATGAACACATAGTATCAAGTTTGTTGCATGGGGTTGAGTCAGATGCGAAATATGTCCGGTCTGGTGTAGCTAGTCACCGTGGTCGTCACCGTCACCGGAGCACGTTTGTACACTGTCGCTGGACTCCGGCATTGGACAAATCAAATT